ATAATATGGAAAATTATTTGCAAAACATTTCAAATTTCAGCCTCAGGAAAATGCTTTCAAAATTCCGTCTGAGTGACCACAACTTAGAAAAAGAATTAGGTAGAAGAACAAAGCCCAAAATAGAATTAGAAAATAGACACTGTAATAAATGTAACACTAAAGCATTAGGAGATGAAAAACATTTCCTGCTATTTTGTACTGGCTATATAGAACAAAGAAAAAACTGTTTGATGAGTGTTCAATAAATATTTACACAATGGATGTGAATTCCATATTTAAAAAGATTATGGAGAATAATATAGCTTTAGCAAAATACTTAAAGAGCACAATTTTTAAAACCACAGAAAGTAATTAATTTATTTTTTTCTTTTATTTTACTAACATTGTATTTTTATCTCTTATGTATTGTATGTATTTATGTTCCTTACCATACAAAAACCCTCTGAAGGTTTTTTAGTAGTATAATAAAGTTATTATTATTATTATCACGTGCGCTACTATATAGACACCAAGTTGTAAATCAACCCCCAATAATCGCCACCTAATTACAGAATGGAATGCTCCGCTTATCAATAATTACCGTACCTTTACTTTAAGGCCAGACTATTTTTTATTCCTTGTTTCTCGAGTTTTTATAAGGCAATTTTTTTGAGGAGGGCGGAAAAAAATAAAATTAATTCTTTTTTTCCCATTAGATTTGTGTGATTCTCAAAGATTTGTAAGTGAGATCATTGATCGAAGAGAAGAAATGAAATACTAGTAACATTTTATTCCATGTATAACCTTGTTTCTCATCTGCGCGAGACTTCGGTACTTTGATCATGATACTCCCACGGAAGTGCAACTTGGATTTGGTATGCGGCGGGCGGTAAAAAAATGAAGATAAAAATAATATTTTATTAGCAATTGTTTGCGCTTACAAGTCGGCGGGCGCGAGAAATTACGCTGAAATAAAATTTTATTTTAATTTCATTTTCGGCTCCTGTTCATTGGCGGGTTGCGAAACAAGGGATAATAAAAGTCTGACCTAACCTCAGACTAGTCTGAGCTTTAACATTGTCAATGTCCCACATACAAATATGTATGCTAGTTAGTTTTTTTTATTGTTGTGCATTTTTTTTATTTTGTTGCACTCTTATTTGTTTCTCTGTTCTGTAGTTTTAGTGACCTTACTGCTGTACTTTCCTATAAAGT